ACCGAGGGTTGCGATTCCGTTGCCGGTCCCGGTCCGGTACGGGCGCGACACTGAGGGTTGCGATCCGTTGCCGGTCACGAAAAAAGACAAAAAAAGGAAAAAAAAAAAAAAAAAGCGTTTGGGGCTCACAGAGAGGCTAAATATTAAAGGAGAAAATCCCACAAAGGAGAGAACCACAAAAGGAGATGTCTCAAAATCCATATACAAACTCCCCTTAAATCTTTGGCTGGCTACTAAATTGCAGTTGTGCAGGATGAGACTACAAGGAACCCAGGAGAAAATAATAGCTGGAAGGTGAACATAGATTATAGCAGTTACCTTTTCCTAGCAGACATAGTTTAGAATTTAAGTTATGCCAAGTTAGAAGGGCCTAGTAAACAACTGAGCTTTTTTTCCACTGAAAACCTATAAGGGCCACACCTTGGGAGTAAAGATTACATCTGAGGACTAAGCAACCCAAACAAAACCTGAAACCATGCCTCTACAAGAATGAGGTATTTGCCAACAATTTAACTGCCTTCTGGAATGAAAACAGCATTCTTCAAAAGAAGGTAACAAAATCTTAAATCCCACAAGGTATCATGCATAATGTCCATTATACAATCAAAAACTACTAGAAATGAGGAAAAAATAGAAAATGTTACCCATGGTCAAGAGAAAAAATAATCATACCCACAGATGACCCAGATACTGGAATTAGCAGATAAGGACTCTAAAGTAATTATGATAAACATGTTAAAGTATCTCCAGGTAAAGATGGATATAGGTGAGGAGATGGGGAGTTTGGAGAGAGATATGGAAGCTCTAAAAAAATCAAATAGAAATTCTAGAACTGAAAAATACAATACATGAAATTAAAAATTTATCAGAAGGAATGTTTTTTCCAAGGAAGGTCATTAAAAATAATAAATACATAAATAAATATTTATTAGTTAGAGGGAATGGAAAGTAGATTAGACACAACAGAAGAAAAATTAATGACCTTGAAGATGGCTCAATAGAAATTATCTAAACTACAATCTGTAATCAGAATCCAAAAGAAAAGGAGAGAAAGGAACAGAAAATTATTTGATTAATTTTTTAATTGGCTGAAATTTTTCCAAATTTGATTAAATACATTAACCCACTTCTTGGGGAAGCTTAGCAAACACCAAATCAGATAAATACAAAGAAAACCCACACCTAGCACATCGTAGTCAAACTGCTGAAAACCAAAAGTGAAGAGAAATACTAAAAGCAGCCAAAGGGGGAAAAAAGATACGTTATATATAATAAAATAACAATGAAAATAGCAACTGACCTATCAGTTCAGAATCTTATATTCAGTGAAAATATTCTTCAGAAATTGAGGTGAAATAGATATTTCTAGATTTTTTTTAAAGAAGTGTTTCTTAATTGATTTAGATATGTTTATACGAAAGTACACATTTGTCAGATCACATCAAACTGTACCCATAAAATTGTGCATTTTATTTTTGTAAATTATACTTCAATTTAAAAAACTTGGGAACCCAAATTACAGAACAAATGAAGAAGAAAGCCATCGAGGAGGATCCAATCAAGATAGTGGAATAGACGGTCCCCAGCGTCACTCTCTCCCACAAATCAACCAATTTACAACTATGAAAATGTAACATCAGCCAAGCCAGGGCTGCTAGAGCTCAGGGGAAGAGGAGGAGAGACCTACGGAGTTCATGAAGGCGGGAGAAACTAAGATGAGAGAAAGAAAAAGCTGCTCTGAGCGTTTTGGGCTGCGGCTGCTTTAAGGCTTGAGCTGCTGAGCTCATGGAGCAGGAACCGGCAGAAGCCGTAGCTGTGTCCTTCAGATGGAGTTACTGGGACGCAGCAGGGGAGAAGAGGGCCTTGGCGGCCCCCAGGACAACAAGACCACTAATAGGGTTCCTGTGGACCCACGCAGGAGCGAGGAGCCAGAAAAACTGAAAAAAGGGAGCCACTCAGAGGCCAGCAAGTCATCACAAGGGACCGGCGAAGGGCCCATCCCATGGGAAGTGTTTGCAGCATGGGCAGTGGGGGAGACAGGCCCACCAGGGGAACACTGGGACACAGCAAGGACAGCTGATCTGCCCCCCAATCAGCACAGGACCACTCAGAGGAGACTGGTCAGGAATGCAGAATTGCATGGGGTGCAGTTTGATGAAAAAACTCAGGCCCAGATCAGAGATTCTACAGAACACAGATCCACCGGGTCTCTGGAGCTGCACAAAAAGCCTTCCCTAGGGAAACAGCAGCAAAGCAGCAATTTACAGAATTGCATGGGGTGCAGTTTGATGAAAAAACTCAGGCCCAGATCAGAGATTCTACAGAACACAGATCCACCGGGTCTCTGGAGAGCCGGAAGTACCTATAAGGTCAACCATTAAACCCTGAGCAGCACAAAAAGCCTTCCCTAGGGAAACAGCAGCAAAGTAGCAACTTAAAACAACCACACAGCTCAAGTACTGGTTCCCACAGGAAGTTCCCTCCATGTTAGAAGCAAAGGACAAAAAATTAGTTCCGGCCCAGGCACACCACCAGCACGTTGGGGCCTGCCTGGGAACCGGAGGCTTTGATCTGGGGACTGGACCCCACTCCCACTTCCAGGCAAACTGCACCAGTGCCTCAGGGCCAGCCTGTGGACCTGAAGCATGGAGAAGGGGACTGGACCCCCTCCCACAACCAGGCACACCACGCCAGCACCTTGGGGGCCTGCCCAGGGACCCAAGGCAAGGAGAAGGGGACGGGACCTCAATCCCAATACCAGGCACACTGAGCCAGCACCTTGGGGCTCACCCAGGGATCCAGGGTATGGATCCAGGAACCAGACCCTCCTCCCACAACAAAGCACACCACTCCAGTACCTCAGGGCCCACCCAGGGACCCGGGACATGGAGAAGGGGACTGGACCTCTCTTTCACAATCAGGCACATGGCGCCAGTGCCTTGGGGCCTGCCCAGGGACCAGAGGCATGGAGAAGGGGACCAAACACACCCCACAATCAGGCATATTGCCAGTGCCAAGGAGCATGCCAAAAACAGCACCTCCACGTGGGTGGCCCACCACAGCCACCACAATAACCATGGCTGCTGCAAAAGCGGCTAGATGCCACAGCCACCACACAGATGGTCCGCCAACCACTGGAGTGCATTCACACATCATATACCATATGTAAAAATTAACTGCAAATGGGTCATAGACCTAAATGTAAAGTTCAAACCTATATAATCTCTAGAAGAAAATGCAACCGTACTTTACAAAGTTCATGGAAAAATGAAATT